CTCTTCCGCCTACAATGCACATCATACTTATATGGCAAAACTGAATAAATTACTAGCAACATAACACGTAAACAAAATAATAAACATAGAGTCAGAAGCACATGCTGTCGAGATTGAGCCCGTCGTTGTCTAAAGGTTCGGAACATTGGTTAGCACAAAATAGTCCTGGATTTGATCCCTACATTGACCAACTTGATATCGAGCAGTATGATATTAAATTTTCACTTGAGGTTATAGGCCTCAAATATAATCTCAAATAAAATACGTCCACATTATTAGATACAGATATTTAATATACACAGCTCATAGATTAAATTTTGAATAGTGTTTGTCATGAAACACAGTCTTGATATAGATTAACCATAATGCTGTATAATATCCGAACCTGTATAAGCGTGTCTAATCGCTTCATGGTAATATCGAATCCAAACCAACGAATAATATCTCTATTATCTTATACTTACAACTTATTTAAATAATTACTATCTAAATGCATTATTTGAAAATTTTAATATAATTTTATGCTGCAGGTGCTTTTTAAAAAGTTGCAAATTTATGTAAACTTCTATCGATTTACTCCACTTTCTGAAAAATCTCAATTTATATCAAAGCACTTGTTATCGTCAATTATTTTTACAATTACAATAACTCCGAAATAATAAATATCTAACAACAATTTTGTAAATAAGACTGTAATAGTTTTAAGTAACAAAATAAATTATTAATAATAATAATAATGGTAATAAATATTTTTATTACTAAGCACTAAAAATTATCATTGACTCAATTTAAAATTACTAATAAACGATTTAAGATAACATTAATTCTTTTTCGTACCGTGTTATTAGCAAAAATTATAATAAAATAATAATAATATATCAGTTTTCTTGTATATAACAAAGATAACTACAGACATACATAAAAATAATTTTGTTAAGAACTATATTAAGTTCATTATAATTTATTCAAAATACAGAAATAAGACCATAGCCAACTGAAATGAAATTATTGTTAAGCAACACAGGTATTTTCCCAATGAGTATATTTTGCCACGTGCAGAAAATATTAAAATATTTTTATATCAGACGATACAATATATAAATATAATCAAATTATATATAATATAATCAAAATAAGTTCAAAAGAAAGAAGTCATAGAAGTAAAGCGAAGAAAGCGTCATTTCATTTATTTCGCATGACCTTCCGCGATTTTTATATCAAAGTTATATAGATATTATTAATATTCATAAAAAATTAATCGTCGAAAGATTTAGAAGTACCTAAGATTTTATAATGCGTAATGTTCCTACTAAAGAAAAATTCAATCGCATACAGTTTAAATGTTGTAATGTAGGTTTATATACATTTATATAAATGTTTATAATGTACGTATTGTAGAATTTAAATCAAAGACATAAGAAAATTTGTAGCCTGTTGACCACAAATATAACAAAAACTAGATTTTTTTCTCACATTCTACAATAATCATGGAACAATAGCAAACTTTTCATAGTACTTAAAATGTCTAAATCAAATGTCTAAATCCAGTGATTTGACTTTCAGGTATGATGGTATAGTTTAGAATAACTAACCATAGTAAAAGTAAAATTTTCAAAAAAATGTAATAAAATCCTTTTGTTTCACTCCAATACTATAAGAATTTGCATGAACTTCCCGAAATGTGTAATAGTTGACTTAATCAACCGAAATTGAGATTTAAATGTTGCGATTTCCAATTGAATTTTCTCACACCCATTTAAATTATCTGTAATTATAGTAACTATATTGCACAGTCACAGACTTGTATGTCCTAAAATTGAAGGTTATTATTCCAAATTTTAATAAACTGACAATGTTTGATTCATCACATCACAAAAGCAACTTTTGATACTTTTGACGATGTTATTTTTTCAAACTTTGATGAATTTTTAAAATCAAACTACTTGCGTGAAATTTCAGTATGTTCTTTATGACCATGGTTTTTACCAACGTAAAAAATTTCATCGACAAAAAAATTTCAACAGTTAATTACAAAGAAACGGATCGGCCGATCTTTGTCCAAAACTAATCAGGACGACTCCCAAAAAAATAACATCTTTCGAATAGTTTTTGAAAGTTTAAAATCGATTCAGAATTGTGGGCTAAAATGTGGACAATTTTTTTTTCAATTTTCTGAGATTTACAAAAAACGGTTTTGCTGATCGTCACGCAAAACTGACAAATACTATAACTTATCGAGTTATATCCAATGGCTATTAAATTTTTGAAATTGGCCCAATCGGTTTTGAGAAAATGTCGACAAAAGGGTCAAAAATTGACTCACATACACAAACACACATTTTCTTCAAATTTGTGTCTCATTCGATTCAAACGTCGAGAAAACATAAAATTAGCAAATCGTTTTTTTGACGAAAACATAAACTTCTCCTTCAGGGAATTAATTATGTATTCCAACACAAAGGTCGACACTTAGTTTTCTGAAAAACCTAATTCAGAATATGTAATAACAAACTTTTACTATAACAAAATTTAAAAATATAATGATTGACTAACTTTTACTTCAGTTTCCAAACTCCACAGTCACATAAAATTCTCTTTTTTATTGTCTCTTTAGTAGTAGTAATAGTAGTAACACATTTGAATTGATATTACAACAGAAGTTTTGAACAATGATGTGCATTATTTAATCGCCTTCTTGACATTGTATTTTATGGAGTTAATCAATTTGTGCGTGTTTTGATTTCTATGTTCATTACTCGTATAATTGTTTAGACCGGTTTGAAGACAGTCTTACACAAGGTTGCGAGAACCGGTCAAGGTTTGGACCGAGTCCGGGGTCGCGTTCGGGCCGGAACAGAAACCGGAACCGGATCCGTGTAGAAGCAGAATACGACTGACAGCCCTATATAACATTACTACATCATTTTCTTTGATACTCAAAATTAATTCTCTTGTTTTAAACAAAACTTTAAAATTTAACGCTATTGCTCGAAGTTTGAATCCAGTTGAAATAGAAGAACGTTGATAAATATTTTTCTCTCATCAGATAGAATTTAAAACTTGATATAAAGTTTAATCATTTTTTGAATATATAGTTGTAGCATTTACAAAATATACCTAGGTAAAATTTTCTTAGTAATACCAAACAATATTTATTGTATTTTTAAATTTTTAAAAAGTTATTATTTTTTTTTTAACTTTGGAAAAATTTAATTTTTGAAAATTTTGAAATTTGAAAAATTATTTTTTTTTATATTTTAAGTTTTTTTAAAAGCAATCGCGCTGCGTAGCTGTTTTATAGACAAAATATCAAAGCGCGTAAGCGACGCATCGCACTTATCTATGTGCAGTAACGCGTTCCTGTTTAAAGTACTTAGATAATTGATAGTTTTTCACATTATAAGAGATAATAAGATTATTCAAGTATTTTCCATGAAAGTAACCATATTTCACTATTGAATATTGCTATTAATACCAAACTGTTTTACAAGCATACATATTTTAAATATAACTAGTGGTGCATGGCAATTGCTGGTACTTCCCGTACCGAAACCTGAATTATAGAAAAAAACTTTGCAAAACTTCGAAAAAAATCAGATTTTTGAGAAATTTTTGAAAAAAATTGACTCTTGAAAAGTTAGATTTTTTATATTCTGATTTTTTTTTATTTATTTATTTTGATTCTTTTTTGATTTTGAACATTTTTTTAAGCAATTGCGCTGCATAGCCGATTTGGTGTCGAAATATCAAAGCGCGTAAGCGCTGCGTAGTCGTCTCGTGTAAACATTGGTACAGAAGCTGAAATGAACACAAAATTTGTACTTATCATTATAATCTTTATAAAATATCTGATAATATGATGTACATATCTAATGTTCATTTTTGATCGCCAAATGGCATTATTTTTTACATTTTTCATTGGATCTACGGGGACGCTGGACCTGCCTTTACAAAAATTTTACCAGTTTGTCAATGCAAGTAAAATATTTTTTGAATTATTTAAGTCAGACGCTCCGTTATCTCAAAAACTGAAATACCATTTCTGACCCTTTTTTCCCCGTAGCTCTGAAACGGGTAGACCTGCCTTTGCTAAAAACTAATCAGTAGGAAACAAATGTTTTTTTAATTATTCAAATCGGTGGATCCGTATTCGCGAAATCGTCGACAAAAATTTGTATCCGCACACACACACATACGCACGCACGCATACATCCATTTTTTATGCCAAAATGTTCAGAAACCTCTGAAACGTTCAGATATATAAAAATTCCGATTTTCGATTTTTTTGCAATTACTATAACTTACCTTACGGTAAGTTAAAAACGTCAACAATAAATATGTTCTTTCTAAATTTTACATGAAATTTTTTAATTGAAAAGTATATTTCCATAATTTATAAAAAAGTAATTTTAAATTATCAAGATATTTACTAACTCAGATTATTACTGAGAGACAACATGAATCACTAAAATATTTTACTGATCACGTTCCTATCGTCTCCTTTGACCTTTATTATTAAACGGAACTTCAAAGTTCAAACAATTATCAATAACTTGTTTTAAATAATTTATAGCAAATAAAATTAAAATACTAAACCCAGAACCAATAGTGTGAAATAAAAGACTAATGGTTTTTTTTTTTTTGACAAAATCGAATATAGTTTATGTCAACGATTCGATTGAAAAAAATACCGCAATTAGGTCAAACAAATTGCTATTGTTGAACAGGTTTATTCGCATAATATTAAACTGGTTGCATGTATCATCATCAAGTACACGATTCTGATGGTCAGTAAATCACTGAACAAAGTGGTTTGTCTTGAACACATTGCAACATCATGGACAATTATATTACATATTCCTATAGCAATTGTAATAAAACAAAAACTCCTATTGACAAATTTTTAGTTTCTCGAGTCACTTAAAACGACATTACAATATCATCATGTAAATTATAATTACATCAGGTACTAAATTTAGAAATTATTAATTTATTTGCAGTATTGATAGAAAAAATACTGAGGACATGTCCCGATTTGTCAAGAATCTACATCTTGGTCCGAGACAAAAAAGGGAAAGATGCAAAAAATAGATTAAAAGATATGTTAAATGATGTGGTATGTTTTTAAACATATAAAACTTGTTATTGGTGATTTTAAGAATAGAATTAAACTTTATGCTTTTTTAGGTATTCCAGCGATTAAAGAAAGAGAGTCCGTTGGCCCAACAAAAATTGGAGGTTGTTTATGGAGATGTTGGCAAGCCCGATTTAGGGTTGTCGGAAAGTGATAGAAAAATTATACAGGATAATGTAAATATAAAAAAATAATAATAGAAAAAATAAATCAGAATTAATTAGTTAAATTTAAAAAATATAGAGGTGAATTATTTTATAGATATCTCGATTATGATGATATAAATAATTGATAAAATTTCATAAAATCGTGTATTAATCTTATAAATTAATTTGTGCTAAAAATTAATATTAATTTATCAATTTAACAAAAAACTACATTTACAATATTATAAAAAAACTATTTGTGGAGCATATTTAAAAAATATATATATTAATTTTATCTTCTAATTATTAAGACATTAAAGTCTTGATTAAAAAATAAATTATAACCAAAAAAAAAAATCTAATTTTGTTGATAATTCACCATATACTTTTTTTGCCTATAATTTCTACAATCCTATTAATCATATATAGCTAAAAATAATATTTAATATTTAATATTTAAAAAAAGTCAAATATTAACAAAATACTTTTCCAGGCAACAGTTATATTACACGTAGCAGCCACTGTCAATTTCCACGAGCCATTAAAAAACTCAGTTGCCATAAATGTTAAGGGGACATTAGAGATGTTGAAACTGGCGAAAAACTGCGAAAAACTAAAAAGCGTTGTTCATGTTTCAACCGCCTTTTCCTTCTGCCCGCACAAAGAAATAGACGAAAAGTAAATATAAAAAACTAAATGATATAATTATATTTTTATTTTTAACCGCATTCATTTAAAGTAATTTTTATATCATTGCTATTTTTTACAGATTTTATAATATGCCAGTCAAATATGATGATTTAATTCAGTTAACAAATACGCATGATGACCAAAAACTCGAAAGTATGTTGCCAAAGTAAGTACTATTTCCTAATAAATAATTGATAGCTATTTTAGTTATTGGAATAAGATGCTCCTAGTAATCTTATTACCCAATAAACTAAATTTAATAATATCTAATCTAATAATATATAAAACACAAGAATTTGGTATAAATATTTTCCTAATTATCGTTAAATGTTGTTCACAATTTCGCAAATTTATTTCACATTTTCAAAAGCTCCTTTGTCGCAAGTCTGATTTATCCACAAATGTTTATTAAGCTTTGCTAAAAATTTGGTATAGTCTATTATATTTTTTTATTCTGTATTATGGTTTCGTTTCTATATTATTTTCCATTCATGATCTAAAGTTTTTCACAACAGTTTTAATTAATTTCTTTGTAAAACACAAACTAGAGCTTTGGGTCTCTAATAGAAAGGGGTAACAAACCTATACATTAAATTAAGATGATAATATTTTTAATAATATATTAAAATTTATTTATGTATATTAGGGTGGTCCTTAATATGTACATTTTGAGCTAAAACTTTTAGAGAATTTTCTTATATCAATTTGGAAGCATTTAGGCCCCTGGGAGCAATAAAATTTGAAAATGTCCATATTAAGGACCACCATAATGTATATATATAAGCTTGCTGACAAAGATCATTATGTGTTAAAATATTCTAATACAATGAATGTTCGAATTATCCATCTTAAGAAAAACTGTTTAGAACAGGTTTAAGATGCTTTTTAGACAATCATTACTCATAATGATTGCGCACCTTCTTCAAATTGAATTATTATTGTTATTAATATAAGCGAGTTATTATTAGAATTTATAGTAATTGGCAAAATACTAACACATTCAAAAATTTATTGTTAGAATTTTAGGTGAATGGCCAAATACTTATGCTTTTACAAAGGCTGTAGCCGAAGACATTGTGAGGAAAAACGCGGACTCATTACCGATATCGATATTTAGACCTGGCATAGGTAAAAAATAAATTAATATTAATTATTACAACAAATAGATAAGCATAAATTAATATTAAATAATATTTAGAAATAATTTTGCATGTTCAATAAAAATGATATTCAAGAGAGTATCAATGTAGAACCTAAACCAACATTATTAATTGAACCTAGATTGATATTATCTCTAGAAAGCCCTTTAGCAATATTGCTTGATGAGAATATTTTTTATATCGTTTTTGCGTCGAGCTATTAAAATAGAGACTGAACAAAGATTTAAACTTTTTTTGTTATGAAAAATGCGCGGTGAGATAAAAGTTATAGGTTAAGTAAATAATTAAATACATATACACAAGTAGTTACCAAGACAACGGGGTATTTATTGTGCATAACTCTAATTTTGCATTTTTCATTGATTAGATAAATATTATTTAGTCTCTATAATTTTTTTTTTCAAAAGATATATTTCAGTATAGAAGAACCATTATTACATATTATATATAATTATACTATGTGAGTTTGTTACCCGAGGGTATTACTACAACTATGTTTATATAAATTTATCAGTATACATTTTTATTAATTGCTTTTCATTTTGGTTAATTATATGTATTAAACTAAACTTGAAATATGCGGAAAGTTATTTTACTGAAGTTTTTCTTCTAAATTACCTATGACACCATTTTAATTTTGAAGGCGAATAATGTATAGTATGATTACTATTTTTATGGCGGGTTGAATAATCTTTTAATAATTTTGGCCATCGGCAAAAAATCTCAAAAAATTCGCATTAATAGATAACCTAACGGTAATCCGAATTAATATTCATCGTGTCCCAAATGTTTGCTATCATATATGCATAAAATTATTTTTTATAAATATACATACGTTTGCTTTGTATATACTTTTTTCTGATAAAAAATATCGTACACGTATTTAAATATATCAAATTCGAACACTGTTAGAATTAACATTCAAATAATTTTATTACAAACTTCACTTTAGTTCGTCATGTAACCAAGTTTGACTACAATTGACTTTTTCATAATTACAGATTTGAATGAATTTCAAAAATTTTAAATTTAATTTGAAAAATAAATCAATTCATTGAAGGGGCATTCTGGTCTAGAGGCATGAATTTTATGCGATGTTTGGAAGGCTTTATAGAAAAAGGAACATAATATCTTTACTAAATATTTTTTTTACATTATGTCTTGGAAATATGAAAAACATATTTTTAACTACGTTCGTCTCTAATCACTCGTTTATTATCTCTAAATACACTCTCTACAATACTCATTCTCAATAATTATACTGAATACTCAATATTATAAAAATTAAAATAATAATATAGATTTAATTCTAAAAGATGATAAAGTAAGAGTCTCAAAAAATTGGCACCTGACCATACCCATAATTATAGCTCTCCGAAATAATCCGAAGAAGAAAAAAAAAATATATTATTAATCTAGAATAATGTCGCTTTCCTATGAACTACGGTTATGATAAAATATTTGTTCTTCACATAACAGTGACTTTTTTTTTGTTTTCTCGAATTTGTTAAAAATAGTTAAAATCGGTATGTGTGGATCGGATCGTAGTTTATATTGAAGAGAAATCTATGAAGAAGACTCTGTAAAAATTTCAAGTAAATCGGTCCAGTAGAATTTGAGAAATCGTGGGTATCGTATCAAAAAAAAAACAGTTTCCAGAAAAACGCGTTTAAAGTTTCGCGGAAGAAGGAATTAGAGGAGGATTACCGTCTTCAAACAGCTATATCTTGAAAAATAATTTATATATCGGAGGGTCCTTTCATAAACATATTCTTCTTTAGTGGATTTTTGAAAATATCCAAAAATATAAAAAACGATTTTTTTAATTCCAGACCAGAATACCCCCTTGCAACTCTTATGTTCATTCTTGTGAATTCAAATCCCGCTATTTTTAGAAATTTATTTAGACAAATTATTGATTAATTACAAGAACTATTTAAAAAAAGAACAACTATTCACTGCATAAAATAGCAAAAATAAAAAAATCGCTATGCATAGAATCAAAAACATTGAAATTATAACATTCAACAAAATTGTAACATATCAGGATATTTATGACCATGAACCTCTCTATATACAAGATATTTAAATACCTGAAATGCACGAATTTAAAATTTTTTCTTTACCATTTCATTACCCCGGCGCAATGTTTATTAAAAAAGTCAATTAATTGCACTGCACAGTATAATCTATTACCTCGAAGGACCAGATATAATTTATTATTAAAATGGCTATATCAAGCCTTTAAAATAAGTCATTGTAAAAAAAAGTAAGATTGGTTATTAATAGTATATATTTGCTAGATGTTTAACGTTCAAGTTTTGCGCACAGAATGATTAAATTGCTTATAACTAGCTAAGCGTAACTAGCGTACCCATACTAGGGTAGGAAATTATTTTATCGATGTCAGGTAAAGATTGGTAAAGCTCGAACAACTATCAACCTTGTCACCATATACAAAACTCTTAAACTAGTAAATCTGATGGCAATTCAATTGATTATTAAATCGATTATTAAATTTTCAGTGATTGCAACATACAAAGAACCAATTCGTAGTTGGATCGACAACGTGTATGGACCTACGGGGGTTGCGATGGGCGCCGGAACGGGAGTCCTGCACGTGTTCCGATGCACATCGTCGGAAATCATTGAAATGGTTCCAGGCGACTTAGTCATAAACGGAATTATCGCATGCGCTTACAACACCTCGACAATGAACCACACACAAAGGTAAGACGACCACATAAACTAGTGGTGCGTGGCATCGTGTCTTAAGGCAAATTCATGGAACTTCCCGTACCGCGATTGAAAATTTGTAAAAGCTTTGAAAAAATTTTAAAAATAATTACATTGTGAGAACTTTGAAAATTTTGGGAAAATTAGAATTTTTTGAAAAAATTAATTATTTTATATTATGCATTTTATTCTTTTTAATTTTGAATTTTTTTAAAGCATTCGTACTGTGTAACTGTTTTAGAAACAAAATATCGAAGCGGTTAAACATTATAAATCGTACAAAACTCCTAGAGACGTAAACAAAATTTGTACTTATAATTAAAATATCTACAAATTATCTGGCAACTAGATACGCATATGTCTAATCATAATTTTTGAGCGCCAGCTGGCGTTTTTTTACTATTTTCATTGGATCGCCAAAATTGATGGACCTGCGCTCCCAAAAATTTAACCAGCTCTTCATTTCATTAATACAAGTAGAATGTTTTTTGAAACATTCAAATGGGATACTCGGTTCTCTCAGAAACTGAATTATAATTTTTTGAACTTTTTGTCCAGTTTCTTTGAAACGGCCATTTTTGCCTTGGCCAAAAAGAAATCAGCACGTCAATAGGAATCGAATGTTTTTCAATTTTTCAATTTGTTCAAACCGGTTGATCCATGTTCTCGAAATCGTCGACAAAAATTTGTATCCGCACATACGTATATACATACTACACACACACATCGATTTTTTCTAAAGTATGCCTAAATGTAAAGATGTGCAAAAAATTTTATTTTCGATTTTTTTGCTGTTGCTAAATCATACAAGTGTAGTACTACTAAAATGTTGTGCAAATATGAATATTAAATGAAAGTATTGTTTCTAATAATATTTAAATGGCATACCACTTACAAACTTTTAATTTGTCGGTTTTTGACTTTTTGTCAACGTTTTCATAACCCTTTCCACTCGGATGCCGCCGCGGAAAAATTTATATAAATCTCGGATTTCGCGAGTGGAAAGGGTTAAAAGTGGTTTCAAAGACTTAAAAGTCATTCGATGTAATTCGGTAAGAATTCGCGTTGATTAAGTTTACACGACTATCGGCCGAACCGTTTCTTCAAAATTAACGAAAAATTCTACCTTTTTATCAACCTTTTCACAAAAAATCGTAAACCGTTTTTTAAAATTTAAAAGGCGTTCGAGTAATATTCAGGATTCTTATGAAATGAGAAAAATCGAGTAGTTTTTGTTTAAAAAAAATGACGTTTTTTATTGAAAATTGATTCTATTTTTATTATTGTTAATTAAGTCAATTATATACACGTATCGAAAAGTTCATAAAAGTTGCCCTAAGGCAAAATGCCACTTATAATAATTATAATATATATATTATATATCTATATATATATATATATATATATATTTATATATTTATTTATTTATTTTTATTATTAAACAAGTTACATGTATAGCACTATATATAAATTCAATTTAATAAAATAAATTTGTTTCCAATAGGCACCCAGAAGATATAAAAATATATAACTACGTATCATCAATAGAAAATCCAATAACTCACGAAGAATTTATGGAAAAAAATGATCGATATGGAAAGCAATACCCAACAATAAGGGCTTTATGGTAAGTTAAAATATTTTAACGTACAATCATCCATAGAAAATTACATATGTAAATAAAAAATAAAATAAAAATGAAAATTACTTATATATAATAACTAGGTTTATCAAAACTTGTTGGTAATATTTATCGAAGAGTACCTATTTTTCAATATATCCGAAAAGTAATATTTAATAAAAACATATTATTCTTCGAATTTTGAGCAATTTAACTATATATTAGATTTTATATCGTGTTAACTAAACATTAGCAACCAAAATATCTAATGTATAAATATCAATCGGTAAATGTTTTTTGTTTTCAGGTATCATTGTTTAATATTGACGAATAACGTGCCATTCTACTACCTCTGCACATTATTCCTGCACTTCATCCCAGCTCTGATATTCGACGGTTTTGCTCTCCTAACAAATAATAAGCCACAGTATGTACAAAAATTTATTGCAAACTATAGTAATATGATCACAAATAAAGTCACTGTGAATTTAACATCGTAATTATTTTTCAGATTATTAAGATTGTATAAGAAAATCCATAAATTCAGTGGAGCCATCGCTTACTTCGCTTGCAACTCTTGGGTGTTCCATAACAACAACACACAAGTAAGGATTTTAAATCAATTATAATAATATCGATCGATCTTAAAAATACAATAATACGGATAAATTCAATTATTGAATGTGTAAATTAATTCTGGTTAATTTTAGGCGTTATGGAAAGGATTATCGCATTCTGCCCAAGTAGTATATCCATTCAGTATGGCAGATATGAGTTGGGAGAAACATAGCGAAACGCATTTACTTGGTTTGAGGACATATTTATTGAAAGAGGATTTAGATACATTGCCAAAGGCGATCGTCAAGTATCGCAGGTAAAATAAATATATATTGATAGTTCAGTGAAAATAAAATTTATTTATGCGTCCAGAAAAATACTTTCTGGAAGCGTTTCGAAGCAGAACCGATAGTTGTACTCCATCTTTCTGGTTTTACTCCATCATTTTGGTTCTATATAATTTTTGTTAGATCATTGCATCTAAAAAATCACCAATATTTGCCCTTTCTCTACGGCAGTTCAATGAAAATAAAATTTATTTATGCATCCAAAAAATACAGTTTCAAAGCAGAACCGAGAGTTCTACGTTATCTTTCTGGTTCTACTCCATCATTTTGGTTCTATATAAATGTTGTAATTCATTGCATCTAAAAAATCATCAATATTAGCCCTTTCTCTACGGCAGTTTAGTGAAAATAAAATTTATTTATACATCCAAAAAATAAAGTTTAGAAGTAGAACCGTGAGTTGTACTCCACCTTTCTGGTTCTACTCCATCATTCTGGTTCTATATAATTGTTGTTAAATCATTGCACCTAAAAATTCACTAATATTAGCCCTTTCTCCACGGCAGAGTTTTCCGATGGAGTGACCCTGCCGTATGAGTCAGCAAGCCGCCCAAGTATTTGTTACACAAATTATTTTAAAATGTTCCAATCATTACAATAAAGATGTATTAAAAAATTTAAAATTATACTTCTAAAGAACTAGAGACAACAATTAGATTTCACAGTAATTCAGCTCGAGATGTTAAAAATCTTGAAAAAATCATACTGGATGTCGTCTTTAGGCGACCCTGATAGAGCGAAAGGGTTAATATAAAATTTATATCAAAGAGTAAAATGATGAAATGTTAGCACAAAAATAAATATAGCACAGTAGTCTGTATTTAAAATTTGAAAATTATACTTCTGAAAAATTAGAGACAACAATTAGAGTTCGTAGTAATTTAAATAAGGCTCTAAAATCTTGAAGCAAGAATCGACATACTCGATATCGTCTTTAGACAACGCTAGTAGAGCAAAAGGGTTAATATTTATTTTTAAGTTACTTTCATTAAGGAATAAAAATGAAGAAATAAAAACGGCACAGTATCTTCTCAAAAGCTTGTTATATGAACGACTTATATGATTAAATCATTATACTTTTGTATTAATTAATATAGATACCTCAGTCTATTTGTTATTGAATCTTAATTAATCAACGCATCTAATTATCACTATAATTTAAAACTTATCGTACTGTTTCTCTTTTCAGATTAAAACTGTTGCACAATACAGTCAAGCTACTATTCTGGCTCTTCATGATTTACTGTGTATACTGTGTGTTCACGAATATTTTGTTATTTATATTCTAATATAAAAATGTGCATAAATTATAAGTTACCTGTAATCATTGTTTAATTAAATAAATATATATAGTATATATTGCATTTTTTAAATAATACTAGTTAGTAGTAATGTAATATTAGTAATTACCTCGCTGCCAGGGGTGTGAAAATCCAGAGGCATGCTAACACATGCGGCCGTTGTTTGGTGACAACTCTCCTGTTCCATTTGGGCAGTTCCGCATTCTCGGGAAATGATTTCTGTTCCTTGTACAGGTCCGCAGCGCTCAAAACACGCAGCGGCCCGTTCGAGGGCATGCTCAATCGTTAAAACTGGCACCCGAGCTAAAATATTGAAATAAACTTAAATGTCATGAGAAAGCACAATTACAAACATGTATAAAATAAATTAGACCAATGTTATGGCAAGGCTATGTTATGCAGCAGTTTTCATAAAAATCGTACTAAATACTGTCAAAATATTGTCCCGTGGTTCTGTGCAGTCAAGAGTTTTAGATAGTAAACCTAACTTAGAAAACACACAAATAAAACAAACAAAAAATGATGTTATGATAATTGTATCTTTGTGATGTGGTTCAATAATATATGAGTAAAGTTGCATGTTATGTATAAAACGCCTGATCGTATACCAAATACATAGCTTTTGACAGTATTCAGTATAATTTTGTATAAAAACCTCCACGTAACATAGCCTTGCCATAACATAACATAGGTCTATTTAAAATCGAATAATTGCCGGAAAAACCCTAAAAACAGCCCTTTTCTTTTTCACATACAAACGTTTTCTAACTAAAACGTGGAATCAATTTGAGCTTTAATTTGTTTATAATGCATAAATAAATACGCTGAATTAGAGAATTTATAAAGGTAAACTAGTGGACAGGTAAATTGGAGGATATGTAAAATGGTAGAGAGAAGAACTGGTAGATTGACGAATATGTAGATAAATAAGCAGGTTGACAGTTTAATTGGTAGACATGTAAAACGGGATGTGAGGTAAGTTTGTAGGCCGGTAAAATAGTAGATTGATAAGCAGGTTGATAGGTAAATTAGTAGACAAAATGTTAAGCAGGTTAATTGTTCAACAGGTAATTTATTGACCAGGTTAATTTGTACACATTTAGAACGGGATGACAAGTAAATTGGTTGACAGTTAAAATGGTGTATTGATAAACAGGTCGATAGCTAAAATGGTAGACAGGTAAATTGATAGACAGGTGAATTGGTAGACAAGTAAATTGGTGAAAAGGTAATTCTTTGGATAGCTGGCGGTCAGGTAAGTTAGAGGATATGTAAAATGGTAGACAGGACAACTAGTCGATAGACAAATAACAAGACAGACAAACAGGTTGACAGGCAAAATGGTAAACATGTGAAACGGGTTGATAGGTAAATAAGTTGACAGATAAATTGGTAAGTCGGTAGAATAGTAGATTGATTACCACATTTATAGGTAAATTCGTAGACAATTTGTTGAATAGGTAAATTGTTGAACAGATAGTAGTAACGTTAAACTAAAAGTAACAAATACACATCTTTGTTCAACTTTTTAATTTACTAGCTTTTTAATTAGCTAGTTGGATATAAAAATTGTACGTACACCCTACCATATGTAGGATTTGAGACAACTTTTTAATGTCAATATACAAGTATTTACAGACTTACAGCTGGGTACCTCGAATTCCGAGGTGAACTTACTATAATGACTGGACTAAAGTTATTTAAGCTTATTAAATTCATTCAAAGTGAACTAGCAAAGCTCCAATATAAAATGTTTAACTGTATTTTCAAATATAATATTAGAATAGCAGTATAAATATGCTAATTTTCCATGTATTTTTCAATAAATGTCTACAATCAATACTCTACTTTCCTTAAAGCGCTTTGATTTAAGGAAAGGAGAGTGTATTTCCCGACATTTATAAATAATCGACATAATCAATGAGAATTCAAATTTCACCACTTTTAAAATTGTGACAATACATTATTAACATTTTTATTCATCCCATTATTTCAAAGCACATTTGTAGGCCTATATATTTTAGCATGCCCGTTCCGACCGTCACCTTTATTATCATATAAAGTTTCATAAAAATTATCAAACAATACTTTTTTAACAATTAATCACGAAAAGCGACTCGGTCAATCTTCAACACAAACTAATCAGCAGAATTCCCAACTGAGAGAAGTCTTGAATTTTCAAGATCAACTCAAAAATTTTGTCTCAAATGTAGACGAAATATTTTGTAAAGAAACGGCTCTGCCGATCGTCACGGCAAACCAATCAACATGAAATTTTATCGAGCCACATCGATTGTCCATCTAAATCTTGAGCTCTTTTTGAGAAAACGTTGATGAAAGATAAAGTTTTTCATACCTTATAATATTTTTTTTTTAATTTTGGTCTCAAATTAATCAGAATCAGAAAATGTAGGGATATTCTGGCAAGAAAACATAGACAACTCCTTAAGTAAGTTAAAATAATATTAACTTGAATGGTAAAATAGATATCTGGATTTAAAAAAGTAGTGCACATGTAAGGACATATTTTATTTTTTATGTTTATTAAATTGCACTAAAAATACTATAAGTAAATATGAAATAAAGTAAAAAGTATGTGAGCAATAAATACTTGGTATTTAAAGTAATTTGACAATCAATAATAAAAATTAATAACATATGTTGAAGTAATATTTAAGTAGTGTTTTTTTCGTCCAACCTCAGAAAGAATTTCATCCGAAAAAAATAAATTATTCGCAATAGTTTTGGATTTAAACACACAAGACAATAAGCAAAAATTGTCTTACATTAGATTTTACATTATATTCAAAATGAGTATAAATATTTGAGCCAGAAGGATATTGAATTACGTGTACATTAATGTGTTGTCGAAACTACACCAAGTTTCTGAAGTCCGGTCGAAGCTGCTAATGCGATTTTAAAGGCATTAACAGATACAACTGCAAATAATAACACGTGTGATTCGTAAGAGGTCAAATATAACTAGTGGGCATGGCATCGTGCCTTAAGGCAAATTGCTGAAACTTCCCGTACCATAATTGAAGATTAGAGGAACAAAAATAATCAATAATCAATGAGAATTATTCATAAATTAATTACAATTGTTTTAAATATTTTCGAATAGTTTATTTATTACAAATATTGTAAATTTATAAGTGCTTATTAAATTGGGCGACGAGCGTATTCTACAAATAACTTATCTGCATGTTTATAAGAAATTTCTTCAATTATTATATACATTTGATTTTTTTAGTCATTTTGATTTTTTTTTTTCAAAATATTGAACATTTTTTAAAAGTTCAATTTTTTTTTTTTTGTTGAGAATTTGGAATTTTTTTAAAATATTCGATTTTTTTTAAAATTTGGAATTTTTGTAAGAAATCGATTTTTTTAAATTTTGATTTTCTTTCGAAAATTTTATTTTTTTTTAAACATTTCAAAATTATAAAACTTTCGTAAAAGCATTTACACTTTTGTAAAAGCATTTTTTTTTCACACCGTCTGCATATGCAAAATATCTTTTAAATTAATCTTATCGGATGATCCGTTCTCTCAAAACCTGCATGACCAATTTGAAACCCTTTGCGCTCCATACCTCCAAAACGGCTAGACGTGCCTTTTGCAAAAACGCCTCGCGATCGAGTACGAACCGAATGATCATTCAATCATCGAGGATATTTGTTTGAACTATATTAGTAAACTTTAAAATTAAAATTAAATCTTGGTACGGAACCCAAAAAACATGACATTCATGATTCTCAAAAATCTATTTTCTTTATAATTAATTGTTAGTTATAACAGTCCATGTCTTACAAGGTTATGATTATTTATTTGCCGGTATTTTAATATTTGACGCATTAAATATTTTATGCTTTTTTATCATATTTTTATAAGAACTCTTTAATATTTATTTACAATTTACATTATATATTTTTATTATATTGTGCTGTCCTTAAATTTAATGTTTAAGATTTTTATATTATTTTTATCACAAACTTAATATTAACAAGATTTACTCTAAAAATGAAGGTAGAGTTTATTAAAGTTCAAATACGTTTTTATTACCTTAGAAATCCGGCATTCATGCTAAAAAATTCAAACAAATGTACATTGTATATTAAAAAAATACATATTTTAATAAATTTATTTTCATAAGAAAGAATCTTTTCCAATATTCTTATATAAAGTCAAGAAAACTATTAAAATCTATTACATTTAAAAATTACAATGCCTAAGCCTACTCCACATAGCTTTTCTAGTATAATTAGTGCTGCTTCGAAAGACTTATCATCACCATGCTAGTCATGAAAAGCGATTGAATCTTGGTCAGTTCTTCCCTTGCAGATAATATTTGGAAATTTCATAAGGTGAGGCGTAGGATTTCTGACAGTTGAAGAAAATATTACTTGTCCGATGCCATTACCTGAATTTACTCCATAGTCGGAAGCAAAATCCACCGATTTCAGGTTAAATGAAAAAGTCAAGCCTCTTCGTTTTTACGAGTGTGGTTAGATGGAATTTGGCGTTCCGATCGATAAGCCTTCATGTTGGTGAGCCTTTCGCGCATTGTTTTTATCCGATTAGGAACTGCGATGAGGTGAGCAACCAAGGTGGGGATCTGTGGCTGCTGCAGCTTCGCTAATCCAATGAAGGACGACGATTACCTTCTTAAAATCGTCCAGAAAATTTATTTAATTTCGGCTTCGATGTCCATCAACATACTGTCCACATCATCGATTAAAGTAAGAACACTTTAATTAATACGAAACGCTAATGAAATTGTAGCTATGTTTCATTAACTTTAAACTTTTAACTTCGACGGCAACGATTGTTATTGTTTTAAAAAACTGGTTTGAAATATAAATTTATAAAAATATGTATAAAATATTGGCGTAGTGTTTACTATCTTTTGTTTTCCATTATAATATTTTTCATTGGCATAGTTGCCAGAAAAAATACATAATAGCAAACAAAAGAAAGTAAACACA